TTTTTTTGAGATAGGGTCTCACTGTTGCCCAGGCTGGAGTGCAGTGACATGATCACAGCTCACTGCAACCTCAACCTCCCAGGCTCAGGCAGTTCTCCCACCTCAGCTTCCTGAGTAGCTGAGACCATAACCATAGTCATGCACCACCATGCCCAGCTAATTTAAACAAAATTTTTTGTAGAGATAGGGTCTCACTATGTTGCCCAGACTGCTACCTCCTGGCCTCAAGTGATCCTCCTACCTTGGCCTCCCAAAATGCTGGGTTTACAGGTGTGAGCCACCATGCTTGGCCTGTCTTTCTCTTTACTCTTTTTCTTAGACACTTCTTTCCATACCCTTGCCATCTCAGGTTTAGTCATTTAGCATTTATTATCTACTGTGTGCTAAGCACTATTTAAAGATATGTATGTTTACATACTATATATTATCTAATTCTCAACAGCTTTTTAGGTAATTTTGGGTATTTATGACCATTTTCCTAAGGAAAAAAAACAGTCAAGTAATTTGCTCAGGATCTCATAGCTTGTAAGTATAAAACAGGAGTTGAAGCTAGGACTTTTGGCTTTCAGCCTCGTTGTCTTTCTACTATGCTATGTCGCTGTGTATTTGCATAAAGTTCTGAGACTTAGAGTACCGGGCTAAAGAGAGAAGAGGGCTAAGTGAAATGGTTTCCTACCATTTTAAAGTAGCCAGTTTGTACATGTCTACTTTTGTAAGCAAGAGAAGTGTCTTTCAAGTAAATCAGGAACTGGTGAATAGGACCCATTTGAAAAATGTTTAATGGAAACAGCAACTAACAGAGCCAAAGAGGACACTCTTCATTCAGCTAGAAGCTTTCTGAATGTTCACCAAGGGAAGAAATATGTAAGATATATAAAAAACAAACAAAAAAAAAGAAAATTGTTTGTTTGGCTTTTTTTTTTCAGTCTAATTCCAAGCTAAAGTTGGTGCGCAGCCTGGCAGTATGTGAGGAGTCCTCCACCCCATTTGCTGATGGGCCATTAGAAACCCAGGTAGGTAATTTGCAGGAGTAAGTAGCTTTTGCACTTGGCAGTTGTTTGATAAAATGTAGTGTGGCAATCACAGCAACATCAGACTTGAAAATCAGGGTAGAAGGTACTTCAGAACAAAAGCTGTTGTAGTAAAACAGGGCATGGTCTCTCCCCTCCCAGCTGCGGGTTCCAGTGGCAGTGGCAGTGCTGACAGACCTGCACCAGGGAGGACGAGGACTCTAAAATAGAAAAAAAAGCCAGCATAGTGAGAGTATGAAGTATAAGTCTTCATATCTTGACCACCTAGGATAACGCAGACAAGGAGATCCCAGAGCTGGATCTTATTTTCTTAAATGTATCCTCCCCCTCTGGTGGTTAGAACCATTCCCATCCAGTACCTATGTCAAGAACAGCCTATGTAACTTGAGCTCTCCATAAAGTAGGCTGTGCTTGCTGGCAGAAAAAGCTATTCCTCTACCCTCTTAATAGAACAAAACTAAAACAATTTAATTAGCAAAATAATACTAATCTATAAGAGAGCTGCCTTACCTTCTTAAAGAAGATTTACATTCTTAACTATTCCAAGTGAGCTTCAAGAAAGTTAAAATCCTTTTCCCCCTTTGATTATCCTTTTTTCCCCATAAGGACATAATTCAGTTGCACATCAGTTGCCCGTCTGACAAGGAGGAAGAAAAGTCCACAAAAGATGTCTCCGAAAAGGAAGACAAGGACAAAAACAAAGAAAAGGTCCCAAGGAAGATGCTGTCCAGAGGTGAGGACTTTCCCCCATCTCTCATCTGTTCTAGGGTAGTGCCCTTTACTTTTATCCTGAAGCCTGGTGCCTGCTAGACTTACTGGCCTATCAATTCATAGTGTTCTGCTAACTTGGTTGCTTGAGGAGATGCCTAACTAGGTGACTTTCTTTACTTCTTTAACTGACCCTGCCTTAGGAGCTCACATGCCACAGAGAGCTACTCCATCTGCATTGGCATTATTCATAGGAGGACAGTGTAGTCAAGTCTGATTTTACTTGTGCTCTGGAATAATGATGACATTGATAATGACTGGTAGCAGATCCTCCAGATACCATTTATATTTTGGTTTAGGGATGGCTAGGGTGGTTTTTATTTATTTCTTTTAATTATTATTATTATTATTTTTGAGACAGAGTCTCCCTCTGTCTCCCAGGCTGGAGTGGTGCAGTCTTGGCTCACTGCAACCTCCACCTACTGGGTTCAAGCGATTTTCCTGCCTCAGTCTCCTGAGTAGCTGGGACTACAGGCACATGCCACCACACCTGGCTAATTTTTTTTTTTTAGTAGAGATTTTTAGTTTCACTGTGTTGGCCAGGCTGGTCTTGAACTCCTAACCTCAGGTGATCCGCCCGCCTCAGCCTCCCAAAGTTCTGGGATTACAGGCGTGAGCCACTGAGGCCAGCCTGATTTTTTTTTTTTTTAAATAATGCAGATTTGTCTCTAAGTATTAGACTATCTTTGTCTTTAAACTCTTGGACTGGTTGCAAAAATACACAGTCCATAAAAATGATAAGAAGGCAAACAGGATTAAAAAATAATATTTGGACATATTTACTGAGATTCTGGAAAATTCAGCCCTGACTGCCTTTACCTGGAATTTATATTCCTTAATAAAACCTGCTTTGTTTTGATCAGGACATTCAGTAAATACTTATTGATGATAGGTGGCTTTTCAGTGTAATATTGATGTAATACTATGGCCCAGATTCTTTCTTCTGTCATTTTGTTGGGGAATTTTGGGGTCTAGCACATCAAGGTCATTCTGGATTTTATGTTAAAACTCTGGAAGTTTGATTTTGCTTTCCTATTCTTATCTCTCCTGGTTAGATTGTGGACTTCTGCTTAGGATTAGACGGCATGCAAAGCAGTTTCATTTATTTTAAATTTCTTTTGTTGTGGTGGTTCTAGACTCCAGCCAGGAATATACGGACTCCACTGGAATAGACCTACATGAATTTCTTGTAAACACACTGAAAAAGAACCCAAGGTAATAACATCATGGGTGTAAGAGGAAAAGGGATAGGGGATAGCAAGATTCCAAGAGGCCAAACAGCTTCCCAGAATTTTTCCATTGTTAAAATCTAGGATGCCCATCTCCCTGTCCCTGCAGTCTTTCTCAGCTATAGTTTTATATTCTGTGAGGGATTAAAAATATTCTCACATTGAGGTTTCTGTTTTCAGAACTGGGAAAAACTCTGTGAAAGAATGCAGAAACAAGGAAATATGAAGGCTTGGGAGTACACTGATTAAAAAGCACACATTGGGAGTGATATTAAGAGGAGTTAAAAAGCACAGAAGAAAAAATAATTGATTTGTACATAAGCTAAATCATAATTGCTTTAAAAATCTGTAAATAACAGGATAGAATATAGAATGATGATTAGATTTATAATGTGTGTTTATATGAATATGCTGCTAACAATGAAATTTCTGATATGGTATAACAAAGTATCTGATCAGGAAGGATCTGAAAAATGTATACTTAGGTTATTTTTCTTTTTGAAAATATTGTAAAACAGGCAAGTAAGGCTCAGCAGCATTATTATGGTTCATTATTGGGTTTGCATATATGCCTTTTTCAGCTTCTATAATGAACAAGTTGTGTTTTGAATTCCTGCTTTCAATGTCTATGGGAGGGCTGCTTTTTGTTTTGTTTTGTTTTGATCTTTTTTAAACAGGGACAGAATGATGCTGCTAAAATTAGAACAGGAGATTCTGGAATTTATTAATGACAACAAGTAAGTTACTTGCATGAAATACATATTTAGAGGTCGGGGGGTACTGGAAATAACTTAGGTACAATTTTAGGATACTTTCCCCTTGAAGTGTGATTTTTGAAAACATACTGAAGTTTTTAAGTTATTAGGTAGATTTGAATTGAAAAATAATTTGTATCTTTTTAGCATCTCACCTTTGTCCCAGATCTTACTATTCTTAAATGTCTTCCTTTTTCTTTGTCAAACATCATCTAGGTGGGTGGGACCTAGGGCTTAATAAGTAGTCCTTTTTTGAGACAGAGTCTTACTTTGTCACCTAGGCTGGAGCACAGTGGTGCAGTCTCAGCTCACTGCAATTCTGCCTCCAGGGTTCAAGCGATTCTTGTGCCTCAGTCATCCAAGTAGCTGGGATTACAGGCACATGCCCAGCTAATTTTTGTATTTTTTGTAGAGACGGGGTTTTGCCATGTTGACCAGGCTGGTCTTGAACTCCTGAACTCAAATGATCTGCCCGCCTCAGCCTCTCAAACTGCTGGGATTACAGGTGTGAGCCACCGCACCCAGCAATTAGCAGTCTTAATGAGGATAGTAGATCACAGTAATCTGCAGAATACTGTAGATAAAGAAACTAGGAGAAACCCGTTTGGTTCCCATTCAGTAAACATCTGTATTCCTTATAGTATGTCTCTTCTCCTAAGAAACTCTCCACTTTAGATACTTGTTTAAAAAATTAAAATTGGTTGTTATTGCCGTTGTTTGTCTTATATCACTTTTTCCCCCCGGGTTTCCCTGCAGTAACCAGTTCAAGAAGTTTCCTCAGATGACCTCATATCACCGGATGCTATTACACCGGGTAGCTGCCTATTTTGGGATGGACCACAATGTTGATCAAACTGGGAAAGCCGTCATCATCAACAAAACTAGTAACACAAGAATGTAAGTGAGGAAACCATGATTTGGGAAGACTTTCCGGGATAACCTGCTGGGGTGGAAGAGGAAGGTGTAGGATCAAGATGTCTCTTGCAGATGGCTGGGCGTGGTGGCTCACGCCTTTAATCCCAGCACTTTGGGAGGCCTAGATGGGAAGACTGCTTGAAGTCAGGAGTTTGAGACCAGCCTGGTCAACATAACAAGACCCCATCTCTATACTTAAAAAAAAAAAAAAAAAAAAAAAAAAAGTTTTAAAATGGCCAGGTATGGTGGCTCACGCCTGTAATCCCAGCACTTTGGGAGGCCGAGGCAGGTGGTTCACAAGATCAGGAGTTCAAGACCAGCCTGGCCAAGATGGTGAAATTACATCTCTACTAAAAATACAAAAATCAGCTGGGCACAGTAGCAGGCACCTGTAATCCCAGCTACTCAGGAGGCTGAGGCAGGAGAATCGCTTGAACCCGAGCAACAGATGTTGCAGTGAGCCATGATCGCACCACTGCCACCCAGCCTAGGTTGATAGAGGGAGACTTCTAAAAAAAAAAAAAAAAAAAAAATTTTTTTTTGCAGGGAAGGGGATTAGGATTGAGGGTTGGTTATATAATTAATTCCTACTTTTTCTGAGGCCTTGGAGATAGATTCTAGAGGGACTGATGTTTCCTGAAGTCTGGCCCTAGCCTCCCTTCACTTCGCTGATAAAACTATGGAGGAAGAGACAGATGTATAAAGAACAGACCCTGAGGATTTCATTAAAACCTGCATGAGACTTTTTCGATTTCTTACTCCAGAAATTCCCTGAATGTGAGGTGTATAATTTAGGAGAGTTGTACCTAGTAGGTCTGCTTCCTAACAAAAGGGTCTTTGTCCTCCTTTCCTTTCACATTTCTTTCCAAATCTCAGCCCTGAACAGAGGTTCTCAGAACATATCAAGGATGAGAAGAATACGGAATTTCAGCAGAGGTTCATTCTCAAGAGAGATGATGCCAGTATGGACCGAGACGATAACCAGGTGAAGAATGGAAAGGGGTGGGCCTATAGAGAGAGAGTGCAGTAAGAGAAACTGGGAAGGGAGAAGAATTTTTGTGGTGTGGAGAAAACTCAAAATATCTTAGTACGGAGAAATGTATTGAGCTATACTGAGTTGGCTTTGGCTTAATGTTGAGAACTGTATATTTGTTGAACTAGATGCCACCTTCTTAGCCACAGAGAGACATGGTGCTGAGGTTTGCTAGGTGATCTCATTTGGCCTGGAACTCCTTTGGTCTGCCACTGACTTCTAACACCACATCATTTTGGATAAAGCAAGGTGATCCCTGCCTCAGCCTTGATCCAACTGTTGGTTTCATTCTTTTTTTTCTTTAATAGTTAGGGATTTCTTTGGGAACCACAAAAAGCTACTTTGTCCCACTTCAACTCTTATCCTAGCTTAGGGCTAGCCTTGAACTGGCAAAGTTGTGATCTAATTTACCCAATTATAAAGGTATTTCTGATCCCTTCCTACAAACTCCTTAATCTTTTTCCAACTCCTTCCACCAAGGTGAGTGAGTTAATTTGACATTTGATCCTGGGAACCTCAGACGGATCCCCTTTGTGATCCACTGCTGTGGGAATAAGAAGTGAACAACCTATCCCATCCCTTTAAATGGGCCTGACTATTGCTTTGACCTCAAGCCTACCCTTTAGATAGTAAGTGATTATTTGGGGGATAGCTAAGAAGAAGGTTGAGATCCAGCTTGGCCTCCAAAAGGAATTAGATTTGAAGAGTGTGGTTGAGTAGAGCCTATATGAATTTTGCTAATTAATAACTATAATAACATCTTACCTCTAGTGTTAAAATTAGTTTTCTTGGGATATTGTATGGTCTTGAGACCAGGACCTTTCCTGCTTGCTACTTGAGTATTTGAGGGAGTCCTTTTGAGAAAAATGCCATTATCGATTGTGGACAAACATGCTGGGACTGATTGAAAACAAAGAAACATACAAAAATACAAATAAAATTTTAAAAAATGAGAAAGAGCCTTTCCATCCTGATGCCCTTCTCCATTTTCCTAAACCCTTTTTCTGTGGATCAGGAATTATTCAGGCCTAGAGGGACACTGGGGTGAAGTGGAGTCTGTCCCTATTGTGAACTTTTCATCTCTCAGCTTCAGGCTTGATCCATAATAGGGTTTTTTCTGTCTTTCTCTCTGTGATGCTAATAATAAGCATAATTACTATCTTATTGAGTGTTTTCCCTGAACTAGGCTGTGTTCTAAACACATTGTATGCATTATCTCTTTTAATCATCTTCACAACCCAATGCCATAGGGGTTATTATCCCCACTTTGCATATAAGAAAACTGAGGCTAAGAGATGTTAAGTTATTTGCCTAAAGTTGTATTACTGGGAGGTGGCAGAGCTGAGATTCTGCCTGACCTCAAAACCCATTATATTCTTTCTCCTTTGCCATTGGTTTACCTAGGGGCTGAGGACAATATAGCTCCTTGAGGTCCTGTGTCTTCTTGAAATAGAATTTATAAAAGGATATTTGGTAGGATTTAGGTTCTTGAAGCTAATGAGAACTAAATCTAGGCAAGGTTGATATTCTTGAAGTTATGACTACTTTTGGAGATTAGTAAAGGTCAGGAAGACCAGCCTAGAACAGCAGTCTCCTTAGTTGCTTCATGTGAAGCTTTCAGAGCCTCTGAAGTGGAAGTCAGAATCTTTTATAACCTGGTGACATTGACTTGATGAGTTTTCTCCCTTGGAACTCCTTGCCTTCAAGAGCAGTATGGAAAAGGACACTCCATTACACCCTACCCTGGAAAGTGTTCACCAATTGCAGGCTAAGAGAGGGAAGATAGTTGATGAGGATTTAGATGGTAGGCTAGTCAGAGGTGGTGATCTGCCCAGCCATCCCTTCTGGTTACTTCACTACATTTTCTAGAGAATTTAAGGTTCTCTGTCCTCCATTTCCTTCTTTTCCTTGTCTATCTCTGTCTCTCCCCTTCCTCCACTGTACTTACTTCTCTTCCTTTCTCTGTCCTTTCTCTTCTGTTCTCCTTTTCTTTCTCTTTGTGTTGCTCTGTTCTCTTTCTTCTTTATTTCTGTAATTTGTCTCTCCCCTTCCCCACCTCCAGTTAATACAGTTAAGATGAGGAAAAAAGTGTTTAGGCTTTGAGTTTAGCTTCGCCCTTGGGATTCATTACCAAGGCCCTCTTTGCTGAGCTGTGTGATTTGGGTCTTCAGGCCATGGCATTAGTAACTAAAGAAGGAATAATGCCATGTGCTAGTTCTATAAACCTCCTCCTCTCCTTTCGGCTCTGCTAAACACCTGTTTCTTCTCCCTCTCCAGCTTCCTTCTGTCGTTTGCTTTCCCTCTAAAGCAGTGTTGTTCCTTTTCCCAGGGCTATTTTCTCGATCTTTACCAAGTGGAGGCTACCTGATTATTAGAGGGAAGCAACCCAGTCCTTGTAAATAGTTTTTATTCTTGATCCTGGGGGGTGGGCAGGGTGGGGAGATGGAGAGTCCCCAGCCATCCAGAAAACCTGATCTCCCAAACTGCATGGTCAGATGTACCCAGTGAAACCTCTCCAGGACTGGAAATTTTATTCTTTTTTTTTTTTTTTTTTTTTTTTTTTTTTTTTTTCATTTTTTTTTTTTTTTTTTTTTTTTTTTTTTTTTTTTTCCATTTTTTTGATGGCAACTATAAACTTTCCCGGTTTCTCTTCCTTGCTGGTGTGCAGTGAGCTTGCAGTACGAGGAGAACTTAACTAGCTTAATTCTGCTCATCGATCTAGATCAGAGTTCCATTGCAGGATGGAAGGAGGAGCAAGTCAATAGAAGAGAGAGAGGAGGAATATCAAAGGGTCCGAGAGAGAATATTTGCCCGAGAGGTAAGTGTAGCATCTGAGAGTTGTCAGCCCATAGCTTTTAGATCTTAATCTTTGGAACTGTGAATGGAATGAACCCTCCACAAATGTTATTGGGTTTGTTTGTTTGTTTTAACCAACATCAGCCAACCCCAGATTTGATCTCTAAAACTAAATGTGGCTTATTGGGAAGCTGCAGACTTTCACTTGTGTTATTTTCAATACATTCTGCCATATGGTATACAAAGAGAACTAAAACTTGGAGTGGCTGAATTTGGTAAATTTGCTAGACTGAAAATAGAAATGGTTTTGGCAGGGTCTGAATCTTGCCTGTAAAATTCTCCTCCTGCTTACCTAACTCTTTCACTCCCTCTATCCATTTTAGGCATCTTTGCTTCTAAGTGGAAGACATAGTGTTCACACAGGCTATACATTCATCTTGTTTGACCAGCCTCATTTTTAGGATATGTTGGTGATAGAGCATAGGTCTGGCATCCATCCTCTGTGAGCTCCACATTCTACATGCACAGAGAGTACCACTATTCCCTCCAGTCTCTACCTGAAAAGGAAGTCTCTTTCTTCCTATATTTCTTACCTTGCTTCCTACAACAAGACTACCTCCGAGGGCTAAAAGCCAACATGAATCAGTTTAGGCAACGTTATTCTTAAATGTGTGGACCATATCAAATATACTTGGTACCCCTGTATCTGGTTGCCTTTGCCTACCAGATTGAAGAGAAGAATAGCAGAAATTCAGTAAAGGTTGTGGGTATACAAGAGGGAAACAAATCTCCAGAAAATGTAGGATCCAGATAAGAGCACCATCTCACAATCACATGAGTAACAAAGAGGGAAAGCCAGTCTCCCTCCATTGTCAAAAGATGGTCAGGGTTTTCTTTATTTTTTGTTTTTTTTTTTTTTTTTTACATAGGGTCTCGCTTTGTCACCCAGGCTGCAGTGCAGTGACAGTCACAGCTCACTGCAGCCTCAACTTCCTGCTCTCAAGCGATCCTCTTGCCTTAGCCTCCTGAGTATCTGGGATGCAGGTACGTACCATCACGCCTGGCTAATTTTTTTATTTTTTGTAGAATGGGGTCTCACTATGTTGCCCACGCTGGTCTCAAACTCTTGGGCTCAAGTGATCCTTCTGCTTCAGCCTCCTAAAGTGCTGGGATCACAGGCATGAGCCACTGTGCCTGGCAAAAGATTATCAGTTTTAATGAATATACTTAGATGAACACTAGTCTCCTCCCATTCCCCCATTCTCCCCTTTTTCACAAGGCGGGTAGGGGAATATATATATATATATATATATATATATGTTTTCATCATCATTAGTTTAGAAAAATACTATAACCAACTAAAAACTGAACAACTCTATGTACTTGCTCCATTGTCTCAGAGATCCTCACTGGGAACTGATATACAACACACCTTCTGGCTCAAAGTCCAAGGAGAAGGAATCTTCTTACCTTCTATTATGTAGACTTCCATTCTGACTCAGAAAAGTCCATCTTCCAAATTATTCAACCATAGCCCAAAGAGAGTTCTCTACCTTTACCTACAAACCAATGAGTAGAGTGAGAGGAAAGATGTCATTTGTACATGGCTGTGGCCAGGGATGACCACCTAAATTGTGTAAGAAAAAGGTTGGTGGATAAAAGTAACAAGCACTAGCTGGGCATGGTAGCTCACGCCTATAATCCCAGCACTTTGGGAGGCCGAGGTGGGTGGATCACCTGAGATCAGGAGTTTGAGACCAGCCTGACCAACATGGAGAAAAACCCCATCTCTACAAAAATATAAAATTAGCCAGGTGTGGTGGTGCATGCCCATAAAACTCAACTGCTTGGGAGGCTGAAGCAGGAGAATCACTTGAACCTGGGAGGCGGAGGTTGCAGTAAGCCAAGATCGCTCCATTGCACTCCAGCCTAGGCGACAAGAGTGAAACTCTGTTTCAAAAAAAAAAAAAAAAAAAATAGTAGCAAGCACTTATATAGCACTTATTATCTTTTAGGCATTGTTCTCAATACTTGATATAGATTAACTCAGTCCTTATACTAGGCATATGAAGTAGCTTACCTTATTTTCCCCATTTTATAAATGTGGAACTAAGGCACATAAAGGTTAAACAACCATGTGAGGTCACACTGCTAGTTAGCAAAAGAGCTAGGTATTTGAATTCAGCCTGGCTCCAGAGTCTATGCTCTTAACCCCTCATGTAAACCACCTCCCGATAGCTTGCTCAGCTCTGGGCTCTTTACATTAAGAAGTACCAGTGACATTGTAACCTAACTGACTATCTGTGATGTGTTCCTCTGCTTCACTTTCACATGGGAAATGACTGCCCTGCTATGACATCCATTAGCAAAGCTACAGATGTTCAGAAAGCACAGACAATTTATAATAGTGTATTGGAGCTAATTATGTACAACACTGGACTGTATCTACCTACAACCATAACAAAGGCAAAGTTAGGCTCTTCTCTTTTTTCTCCTGATTTTTAGTCTTCAAGCCTCTACTAATGTATGTATTCCTTGTTAGATCCTTGTAGATTTACCACTTTCATTTCAGCACTTTCTAACTCTTGTTGTGGTAGAAGCATCAGGAATCTTAGAAAGTCTAGACAAGGAACTGTGGCCAAAGCCTATCGTACTCCAAAGATTCCATGTGGAGAGGAGCCTGGCCAAAGGGAGCTGATTAGGGGTGGAGTTATGGGGCTGAGGTGGGGAGCAGGAGGCAGGCCAAAAAGAAAGGAAGTGGCAAGAAGGGTGTTTGGATGGAAATGCTGCTGCTGCAGCCTTCTCTGAAGCCTGAGCTGTATATTGGAAAAGCTGCCCAGCATAGGCTCTGCTCTGCATGGAGCCCACTCTGCTCAGCAGCTGGACACTCTTGGTACATTTTCCTAAAGCTTGGGAATCCACCACAATGCTCACTTCACTCAGCTCAGTGGCTTTGTCAGGAAATGATCCCCAAAGGGAATGTTTCAGGCTTTTAATTTTCTCATTTTTTCTAGGCTCTGAAAGTACCTGCTTCCCCAATATCCCACTCTCCTTGGGTCTCAGGTCAGAATGTCTTTCATTTTGGCCAATGTAGAAGACAGAAATGGAAAAGCCATTGAAGATGATTTCCAAAAACAAAGTTTCTTTATCTTGTCTCCCTCTTCCCTTCCTTTGAACACACTCTTTGGGACCAAGGACATCAATTATTATTCTCAGCTTACCTTTAGAACAATAAATTTAGAGCTAAAAAGGAAATAATAATTAGGTTAATATTTTCCTCTTCCTCCTTTTCACACTCCTGCCTTTATCAGCCTCTTTTTTAAAACACTCTATCAGAAGGCTAAAACCACCAAATGCTCTTTCCCATTAAAGGTGAGAAGTCAGATGGGGTATGTGGGTGTGGGTCATCCTGTCCCTGCCCCTTTTCTCCCTGTTGGTGGGGTGAGCTTTGGTTTTAGGACCTTGGGTATTCATAGCATCATGGACATCCTTTTCGGTTATGCCATGCTGTTTTCTTATAAGTTATTTTCCGTTTTCTCCCCCTCACCTAGACTGGCCAGAACGGATATCTAAATGACATCAGGTTAGTACCACTTAGCATGTTCCCTGCTTCTCATTGAGCTTTGACAGTGAGGTTAATATAATCCTGTAATGATGCTTTTCTTTGATGTTAACCAACAGACTCTCCAAAGAAGCCTTTTCTTCTAGCTCTCACAAAAGAAGGCAGATTTTTAGGTACCTCTGTGTGATCTATATCTCTCTTTTTTATTTTTAATTTTATTTTGTTTTGCTGTAATCTTTTCAGCAGAGTGGGTTTGCTCCATGCATGGCTGCTTGTGGAATAATTAAATTTGTGGTTTTTGCAACGTTGGATATTTTTTCCCATTAAAAAAAAAAATGGCTCCTGCTCAATGACTTTATTTTTATTGTTGCTGATTTCATTTTGAGTCCTAAATAGGTGGTAAAGGGGACCAAATAGGTGTGTCTGGGATAGGTACAGCTTTCTCCCATACATTTGCTGGAATTGGGCATTTTTGAAAGATTCAAATATATTTATGGTAAGGTAAAAGAATGGGTGTCTTCTGGCTACCTTTTCTGATTCTATAGAGATGTGTAGACATTATTCCTGACCCAGCATAGGGAGTATTATGTATCTTTAGGAAAAAATAATACATATATATATAGAGAGAGAGACACATATATATGAACATCTCTGTCTATGTAGTTTTCTCTCTGAGGCAATGTAATGTTAAGATGACCTCAGAAAGGACTTAAGGGACCTGTCTGCCTTAGAATGGGCTTAAAGTGTGTCCTTCATATGATCATTCATATGAATGCTGGTGCAACCCATTGTATTAACTTCCCCAGTTCCTAATGTTCTCCATTTCCCCACAAAGCAGGTATAAGACCCTCCCTTTCATTTCAGTCTCTCAGTCCTAACCCAGAGGATAATACATGGCAGTGGTAAGAGAACACTACTTTAGGATCTGTTCTGTTACCAACTCATTTTAAGTATATTCTTCCCAATTTACCAATGGAAAAACTGGAAAATACAGAGAACCTGAGTATTTAACACTAGAATTCAGGTGTAACCCTTTCCAAAGGGTTTCCCTCTTACTGACTGCTACACTTGATAAGGACTATCTGACTAACTCAGATTTGAGATCTCACTCCTTGTGCTCTAGTTGTCCCTTCCCTGTTGTCCTTTCTAAAGCTAGCCAAACCATGTAGAAACTGAGATAGTGAGATTTCCCATTCTTGGGGTAGAGGATTTTCCATCTCTTTGAACTCTTTTTTTCCTAGACTCTTCTGCCTGTGGTCCATCTGAAAACCCCAGACAGAGAGGGCCTTACATTGTTGGTAGTAGTAGAGATAGAGTCCCCACATTAAAAACAAAAACAAAAAAAACAAGATTCCTGCTCCACAGTCTACACTTCAGGGTCATAGATCATCCCAGGATAACTGTAAGAAATAGGAGTTTTAGTATATGTGCTGCCAAAGCGAGCACAGAAATAGGAGTTTTAAACCAACTCCTATGTGTGAATTAATGCACAGTGGTTTATAGTCACCAGAGTATACTTTATCTTATTTAGTTCTCTCAACATCCTAATTTGGTCAGCTGGTTTACATCTACAAAAACAAAAGCAGAGAGATTAAGTGGTTAGGCCAAGTTTACATGGCTAATAGTAGCAAAAATTGAGCTGATTCTGGTTTTTTTTTGAGACAGAATTTCACTCTTGTCACCCAGGCTGGAGTGCAATGGCGCCATCTCAGCTCACTGCAACCTCTGCCTCCTGGATTCAAGCGAATCTCCTGTCTCAGCCTCCGGAGTACCTGGGATTACAGGCACCTGCCAGCACACCGAGCTAGTTTTTGTATTTTTAGTACAGATGGGGTTTCACCTTGTTGGCCAGACTGGTCTCGAACTGTTGACCTCAGGTGATCCGCCTGTCTTGGCCTCCCAAAGTGCTGGAATTACAGTTGTGAGCCACCGTACTCAGCCAGAGCTGATCCTTTGTTTAGTGTTGTTGTCACTACACCACACCAGCTCTCTACAGATGTCACTCCTTCCTCTTTTAGTAGTGTTCCATTTGGATCCCTAATCCAGATTCACTGGTTAGAATGATGCCCTTATTAGTGCTGTGGAGCATCAGATACATCAAACTGTGCAGATAATAGCTTGAAGGATGTAGTGAGCAGGTACAGACCTTTCCACTCCAGACCTCCTTTTAAGCTACTGGTTTTCAGGCTGAGCTTTGATTAAAGATCTAGGTCATCTGAAATGCAGCATCATGGGCTCTTAAGGAATAACTTTTTCCTCTACTTGGATACTAGTCCAGAACGCCAATGATTAGAAGCTTATCTTCTCTAATTGCTTTACGCCTTTCTGGCCCAGTTTATGTTTGTGAAACAAATACCTGTAAACCAAATTCCATCATCCACATTGGCAGTAACTATGGCAACTTCCCAGTTCTTTGGAAGAGTCTGCTCCATTGACAAATAAGCCACAGTGAGGCCTTACTGATGTTTATTGCCACCTCTTCAACAGGCATCTCTACCCATTCCCCAGACCCAATAAGCTGGACTTTTCACCAGCACTAAATCTGCTTGGAAAAATTAATCGGCTCTGATTGCATGAATATGAGGTGTGACTGTTCTTTGTCCTTTACCTCCATCTCTCCAACATACATACAACCTAGTCCAGTGCTCAGAATTGAATCTGGGGAGCTTTCCCTAATTATTTTTATTTGTAGAGAGGGAATATTGATCTTTTTCCTGCCAAGACTCAACGTAGATTCTCCAGGTCTCAGGGGAGTAGTGTACTAACCCAGGTCAGTCAGAAGATTATCAGGCAGTCTACATTTTGAACGTTTGGTCATCACTATCTTGGGAAAACTGGATTAGTATAAAAGTGCTGCTATAGCTTTCCAAGGTATTTGGTTTAAAGTTGCCTTATTCACTGTCTACCTCTAGTAGCAAGAGAAAATAAATGGCAGGATTTCTCTAACAGATAGTAAAGTGTTTACTTCAGTGGAAAAGGCCTTTAGGACTTGTGTTGCAAAATTCAAGCTCTGCTGTCTAATGAGCAGCCTCCTCTATTGCAACTGCTGTATCCCTGTACCCCACAAACACACACATTTTTGTTGAGTCAGTATACTTGCCTTTGTCCATTGAGATGTAGCTATTGTCTCTCACTTCAGGTCTGGTTCTGTTCCTGGAAAGTCCCTAACTTATACTTCTTTCTTGTTTCTTTGGTATTCCAAAGGAAAGGGATAAAGCTTTGGAGAAACAGGAATTTAAAAAAATTCTCTTAACTATATATAGAGAGAAGCATTTAAGTGCTTACACACACACACACACACACACACTCACTCACTCACTCACTCACTCACTCACTCACTCACTCTTGGTGTTGCAGAGAAGAATCAGCATGTTCCTAACCAGTTGTGCCAGTGTACTCTTAGCTCATTGTGATTGGCTTCACTAAAACCTAAAAGAAGGACCCTAGCATGTATTTTGCCCCTTTTTCCTACAGTACCTTTGGAGTAGGTATTCTAATAAAGAAAGCTGTTTTCTTTAATATTAACACCCTTAAGAAAAACACCTTTCTCTATTAAAATAACTCTGAGCCTAGTGCCTTTGGAGCCAATGGGATTGGAATGGGAATTTCTATTTGCTTTTGATGGGATGGTGGTAAAAAGGAGGGAGCCCAAACTGCAATGATTTTTTTTGCTTAATTATTCTTCAGTATACATACCAAAATATTTGTAATTGTTGCCATTTGGTTTTCTTAGATCACTAGTTGTTGGGGATGTGGGGTATGAAAGAAAAATTACTGGTTAAGAAGTAGTGAGAGCTCAACAAGACAGAGTTTTCAGGCCAACCTGGCTATCTTGAGGCATACAGCTGTTAATAATCATAGACAGTGATTATAACATCAAACTAACCCTGATGTTTTCAGAGCCAAATACAAGAGGGAAAACCCCTTTTCTTAATAGTTTTGGTTAGGGAAATAGGATTATGAATATGAAGACAACTAGGCACAGACAACTCCCCTGCTCCCTGCCATCCTGAGTCCCAAGGGCATATTTGCTGAGGACTTCAGCCCTTAGAGATCCTGAAACCAGTTGTTTGCAGATAGTAACATGGAATTTCCACAAAACAGGTTGGACCAATCCTAGACTACCAAACTCAGTTTTCCACAGTGCCCTTTTAGTCCACTATACTCTTCTTGCAACTTCTGGAAAGGTGGCCATAAGCAGCGCCTCTGCTGGCTTAGACGTGTTATGTGGAAGACCTGTTGTGGGATTTATCCATATCGTTGGCTTCTCCTGCCTTTTAGCAATAGCAACTTCTAGGAGTCCTTTTATTTTAAGAACTTTCAGAAGGAACTGGTACCCCTCTGTTCCCCATTATTTCCTGCATGTGTGGGATTCCCCTCAGAGGGTGGTGAAGAGACCACAGCCAATCTCAGCATCATGTATATGGTTTCCCATCCACCTCTGGTCTGATGTATTAAATTAGTTGCAAGTGCACTGTCTTCCAGATTTGCCTCTGTGTTCTTTGTTACTGTACTGGATCTTGTTCTGTCTGCTCCCATCAACTCTTGGTTGGCCAGCCAACTAACAATAAGTCAGTGTCCATCCTCCCTTTAATTCTTACCCATTCTTTGTTATTCAGAGAATAGAAATGAACTATCTGCTAGCCTTTCTGCTAAGTGGTGGGTGGGGGGTGCTCTGACCACTTACTGTCTCTGCAGGGGGAACCGTGAAGGGCTGAGCCGCACCTCAAGCAGCCGACAGAGCAGCACAGACAGCGAACTCAAATCCCTGGAGCCACGACCTTGGAGCAGCACAGACTCTGATGGCTCTGTCCGGAGCATGCGACCCCCTGTCACCAAAGCCAGCAGCTTCAGTGGAATCTCTATCCTTACCCGAGGTGACAGCATTGGCAGCAGTAAAGGCAGCAGTGCAGGAAGGATCTCCAGGCCAGGTATGACAGCTTCTTTCCTTCCATGTCATTCCCATGCCTTCTTGCTTGTCTCATGTGAAACATCACTGATACTTTTTTTTTTTTGAGACAGAGTCTCCTGTGTTGCCCAAGCTAGAGAACAGTGGTACAATCTCAGCTTGCTGCAACCTCCACCATCCGAGTTCAAGCGATTCTCCTGCCACAGCCTCCTGAGTAGCTGGGATTACAGACTTGTGCCACCACACCTGGCTAATTTTTGTATTTTTAATAGAGATGGGGTTCTACCATGTTGGCCAGGCTGGTCTCGAACTCCTGACCTCAGGTGATCTGCCTGCCTTGGCCTCCCAAAGTGCTGGGATTACAGGTGTGAGCCACTGCGCCCAGCCCATATTTACTTTTAATAAAACATTTGTCCCGGCTGGGTAGGGTGGCTCACGCCTGTAATCATAGCACTTTGGGAGGCTGAGGCTGGTGGATCACCTGAAGTCAGGATTTCTAGACCAGCCTGGCCAACATGGTGAAACCCATCTCTACCAAAAATACAAAATTAGCCGGGCATGGTAGCAGGTGCTTGTAATCCCAACTACTCAGGAGGCTGAGGCAGGAGAATCACTTGAACCTGGGAAGCAGAGGTTGCAGTGAGCCGAGATCGTGCCATTGCACTCCAACCTGGGCAACAAGAGCGAAACTCCATCTCAAAAATAAATAAACAAACAAACAAAACGTTTGTCCCAATATAGTTTCCTGGAAACCTAATACACCCAAGAGAAGGGAAATTTGAATTTTGGATCCAGTGTCCTTGCTTGGATTTAGTCTTCCTTATTTTCTTTCAAACCTTTTTTTCTTTCAAACTTTTTTTTTTTTTTTTTTTTTTTTTTTTTTATTTTTTTTTTTTTTTTTTTTTTTTTTTTTTTTTTTTTGAGAAAAAAGATTGATTGGTATTAGATTATTTTCTCTGATTTTCAACTAAGGTGGGACATCCGTATTAGCCCAGGTTCAGGTTATATACTAAGATGAAAATGATAGCCACTTTCATTTTGTGACCCTTGAGATTATAGAGGCTTTGTAGAGCAGAGGGAGTCCTTAGAGTTTAATTGTTTGTAATTAATTGATACCCAGCCAATAGGCTAGAATTTAGAGGGATGCTACAATGGCTGCTTCTCTGGAGCTCAGTCAGTGGAAAGGAGTAGACACTCCTATGTTCCACATGAAAGCTCTGTAACCACCTATCAGCTCTCCTGCTATAAAACCTTCTCCATCTATTTGTTCCTGCTGCACTGTTAGCAGAAGGGCATTTAAACCTCTATTTTATCCTCCTCGCTTTGAAGAATTGCTTGAATCTCATCCCAGAAGTTCTGTAGTTATCCTTAGAAGACATCAGTAGGGCTGAAGATTTTGCCTCTGACCCCTAGGTCTCTGCTGCCCTTATCTGTTACCCCTTTTCTAATCCCACTGCCTCAGTCTTTATCCAGGCCTTTGTTTTCTTTTACGCAACTATGACACTAGCTCCCAAGCTGATATCCCTACTCCATTCTCAGCTCTTTTTATTGATTTTTTTTTTTTTTCCTTTTTTCAAGAGTCGGGGTCTTGCTATCATCCAGGCCTTAATGCAGTGGCACCATCATAGCTTACTGCAGCCTTGAACTCCTAGGCCCAAGTGATCCTTCCACCTCAGACACCCAACTAGCTGGAATTACAGAAGTGAGCCACTGCGCCTGGCTGCTTAGCCCTTTTTAGAGCCAGTTTGCCAGTCTAAAACAGATCTAAACACGTCAGTACTCTTTTAAAAATGTTCATTTCTGCATCATCACCTGCATAAAATCCCAACTACTTAATATAGCATAACTTCCTGACTCCAGTTTGCCATTGCAGTCTCATTTCCGGATCTTTCCTTCTCCAGCCCTCCAACTATTTCTTGAATATGGCATTAGCTTTGTTCCCTCTTGGTCTCACAAGCATCTGTCATTCTTCAACTCCAGCTTTCTTGCCGACCCCTCTTTAAATCCTTTCCTGACCCTCCCAGGAGTTTTTGCCTCCTCATCTTTGTTTTCATACAACTGTCAATATCAGTGATGTATTCCTTATCCTTATCAGATTGTAATTATCATGTGGATGTCTATCACCTATCAGAAGTTTTTGTGCTGTTGGCCGGACATGGTGGCTCACACCTGTAATCCTAGCATTCTGAGAAGGCAAGGCAAGCAGATCACTTGAGGCCAGGAGCTCAAAACCAGCCTGGCCAACATGACAAAAGCCTGTCTCTACCAAAATAAAAATTAGCTGAGCATGGTGGTGGGTGCCTGTAATCCTAGCTACTTGGGAGGCCAAGGCAGAAGAATCGCTTGAACCTGGGAGGCAAAGTCTGCAGTGAGCCAAGATGGTGCCATTGCACTCCAGCCTGGGCAACAGAGTGAGACCCTGTCTCAAAAAAAGAAGAAAGTTTCTGTGCTGTTAAGGGCAAGGACTGTGTTTCACTCACCTTTATGTCTTCAGTTCATTATACAGTACCTGGCACATAGTAGATATTCAATAAAAGAATGTTGTGTTGAATGTGTTCATGCCTTGGAGAGCCTAGAAGTGGGAAAAATAGTTGGATAAAGGAAAGGTGGTGTGTATGCATGTGCCCATGTGTGTGCTTGAAGTTTTCTCAGCACATTTTTTTTGGGAGGGGGACAGAGTCTTACTCTTGTCGCCCAGGCTGGAGTGCAGTGAAGCAATCTACGCTCACTGCAACCTCCACCCCCCAGGTTCAAGTGATTCTTCTGCCTCAGCCTCCCACGTAGCTGGGATTACAGGCACCTGCCCCGACACCAGGCTAATTTTTGTATTTTTAGTAGAGATGGGGTTTCACCATGTTGGTCAGGCTGGTCTCTAACTACTGACTGCAGGTGATCCACCCGCCTCAGCCTCCCAAAGTGCTGGGATTATAGGCGTGAGCCACCACGCCCATCCCTCAGCAACTTTTATAAGAGATGTTGCAAACTGAGAAGAAAGCAAAGAGAAGACAGATTCCCCACCCACCCCCACCCCCCAGCAAAAAGACCAATCTCTTAAGAGACCAAAAATATATGCCTTCCCAGGAAGTAAGCATTCATGTTTTCAGCTATCTAAGTGTGATGGACAGATTCCAGGCACTTCAGGGGAGGTGCTTCTTCAGCAGCCTCACATTTTGTTCAGTTTTATAACCAAACATTGACAGTCAAGGATGGTTCCTGTCCCTAGGGAGCAGAGAAGCCTGCTAAGATGAGGACTTGCATCATCAAGGCAGCTTTATTGCATCTGTGCTTATCTATGAGTCTTCAAAAGACAGTGGGGGAGAGGAAAAAAGGGAATAAAGAGGAAAGCCAAGGAAAAAGTAGAGCCCTCTGACTAAGCCTTCCAGGGATAATGTGTTCGTGGCCTGTGCTTACAACTTTTTGGTGGGTTTCTTCTTTGCCTTAGGTATGGCACTAGGTGCCCCAGAAGTGTGCAACCAGGTCACCTCATCCCAGTCTGTCCGGGGCCTTCTCCCTTGTACTGCCCAGCAGCAACAGCAGCAGCAGCAACTTCCTGCTCTCCCACCCACACCTCAGCAACAGCCACCCTTGAATAATCACATGATCTCACAGGTGAGTCACCACTCAGTGTCAGAGTCCCCTCCACTCTGATTCAAGCAAGCTTTAGATGTACCGTCATGTCTCTTGTGCTGTAGGTGGCAGGAAGGATCAGTTTTTGGAGACATGCCACTCTCTCCCTCGTTTCTCACTTGTTAGTTATAGGGAAAGAAGAACGCTGGGCAAAGGTTTTACCAAATAACTCTCAGCAGAGTGAGCCTGGGAGTCTTTTGCTTTATATTTCTTCCTCTGCCTCCTGAACATTGTCAGTAGACTCCTTTATTTCATACCACCTTTCTACTATACCCCATTTCCCTCTATGTTGTGTGTAAATTAACAAGGCATTTTTTTCCCATTACATCTACATATGGAACTTGAAAAGATTATAACTTCCACCATCATCTGACCAACTTTGTGGACCCATAAACACATATTTATGTGTTCGGGTTTGGAGAAAAAAGAAATAACACTCAAGACCCCTGCCATACATATGCCATGAAACACAAAGACTCCATGTTGTCTTTGTTTTCTATTACTCATAAGGGCTGCATCCTTTTCCTTTGTTTGCTGGACTTGTAGATGTTGGTACCAACTAGAGTTTAAGTGAAGTTTTGCATCTGTGGAGACCAGGAAGGTCATCAGCCTAAGAATCAGATCATATTCTAAACCAGAACCTCAGTATTCTATTTATTTAATTTTTTAAAAATTTGGCCAGGCGCGGTGGCTCATGCCTGTGATCCCAGCACTTTGGGAGG